CCCCCCCCCCCCCACCGGGGAGCTGAGCGCTGGCGCGGTGCCACTCGTGCGATGAGCTGGGCAGGTCTCAGCCTCTTGCTTCCTCCTGCCGAATTTCCCTCCGCCCCTTTCCACCCGCATCCAAAACCAGAGGCTGCTGATGTGTCGCAGGCTGAGCCGCGCCGTCCTTTCCTCCCCGCAGGCCCCGGCGGTGGTCTGTCCAGCTGATCAGTGCTCACCCCCGACACGTGTGCACCCATGCACATACACCCCCACACACACACGCGTGTGAGTGTGCACGCTGCTTTCCCTGCCGGCCCGGTGACGTCACTGTGCTCCGAGCCGGCAGCCTGCTCCCCGTCCTCACCTTTTAATAACCAGGGAATTCATTAATAATTGAAATCAACACGCTCCTTTCCAGGGCGGCGGAGTTTTATTAAGGCAGGGGCAGGGAGCTGCCAACCCCTGGCTGCAGCCATTTCCTAAATAACTGCTAGCAGTTAAAATGCAATTAATTCTTTCTTTCTTCTTTTTTTTTTCTTTGAATCGAGGACTCTGCTTTGCTGCAAGAGCAGCAGGGGAGGAGAGGAAGGGGCTCTGGCACTTCCCTGCCGGAGTAAGGGAGCAGGGATTCCTCGGTGAACTCCCTGCTCAGCTCGGCATGGGGACCCCGCGGGGCTGGATCCGGGGAGGGCAGAGATGCTGGCACTCACCAGCAGCAAGGAGATATGCCCGTCCACGCTGCCAGCTGGTGTTTAACAGCGGAGACGTGCAGAACAGGGCAGGAACCCCCAGCCCTGCCTCCCCCCTGCATGCACCGGGGCAAGGGGACAGGACAGACCCGTGCAACAGAGGCTTTGCAGGGCTTTGCTCTCCGGAGACCACAGCCCCAGCTCCCCTCAGTGCAATGAGATGAGCCCCAGGTGGAAATGAGCCTGCTTCTGCCCTGGTCCTTCCATGCCGGGGCCCCTTACCTGATGTTCAGCTGCGTGAGCTTCTCCAGCTCCTGCTCCATGTGCTCCTGCAGCTCCCCTGGGCGCAGCAGCACCTGGCAGATGGGGCAGATCGGGGCCTGGCTGTCGAACAACGTGGCCTTCTTCTTGCCTGTGGGGACACAAGGGGTTGGGAAGCATCAGTGCAAACCAGTCCAGATAAACCATCATCTCCACCACCATCCGCCCTGCCGCAGTCCCCGAACTTGCCAATTCGCCGGCCGCAGGGAACCCCGCAAGCCCAGGGCGGGGCAGGAGGGCGTTAATGCTCTGCCTGCATGGCTGGGGTATCATGTGGGGGTATCAAGTTTGCACCCTGGCAAAGATCTCCTCCAGATGCCCGGCGTGAGTACATGGGGTTTCCTGACCTGATTTCCCTGCTGGGCTGGGCTGGGCTGAGCTGGGTGAAGATGCAGCAGATCTGCAGACATGCCCGGGGTCCAGGGGGATAGTAGGTGGCTCTCTGCAGCCCCGTGGGTTCACTTCCTCGGGCTCCCCTGGCTGCACCCCCCTTGCACATAGCCCGGGGCTGGCTCTCGTTTAGTGTCTGTACAGCGCCTGGCACAGACAGGCTTGCAACGGGGCTCCCGGATGCTCCAATAATACACCCGTAAATCAGAGTGTTCCTGGTGTTCCCACATGCCTCAGTTTCCCCATCTCCACGGCACGGGGAGAGACACCGTGGGGTTAGTTATTACGATGTGTCGTCGCAGCCCCCTCCACCCTGGGACACCATCCTCCTCCCCCTTGCAGCATGGAGGGACATGGCCAAGTCCATACCGAGTGTCGGTGGCAGAGTGGACTGGGACCCGGCAGCCCAGTCCCACCCCCGGTGCCCATCGGGAATCGCTCGGGGCAGGGACTCACTGGACATACCTTGGAGCAATGTGCTCAGACCACAGGGCTCCTCACCCCCTCGCAGGGCAAACCCCGGGACCCCCACATTACACCAGGGGCCTGCTGCCATGTGCTGCGTCAGACCCTAGACCCGTCCTGGACACGGATGGGAGAGCGAATGGGACAGGATCAGGGTTTTACACTGTTACACCCCAGCACTGTGTCCGGATGAGCCCGATCCCTCCTCTGGACACTGAGGGGCCTGGCAGGGACCCGTCTCTGGAGCGAGGCCGATGGGCAGCACTGATATAAAAGCCAATAATGTCCAGCCTGGCCCCATTCCCCGCTGTACTAGCGCAGCCACGCATCGGAGGGCGGCATGAGCCCGGCTCTGGGGAGCGGGGACGAGCTTCGCTGCAGCCCGGAGCCCTCCCAGGATTATTTATTCATGCATCAGATGTAGCTCCAACAGGCCGAACCCCAGCCCAAGGCAGGAAGGGGCCAGAAAGGCACCGGGCAGAAGCCAAAAGGGACCATTTGACGGCTGCACGCTCCAGGGACTCAAGGGACAGCCCCGATCCTAAGAGAAAACATCGGGGCGCGACTGGCTCGGGGCTGGGCAGCGCCTGCCGTGGGGTTTCCCAGGCACCAACCCCACCCCCTGCTGCTTTTTTGGGTGGGGAAACTGAGGCAGAGGAGGAGGCAGCCCCTGGCACTCGGGGCAAGAGGTGGGAACAATCCCGCGGGGTCTGGCTCTAACCACTAGGCTGGCTTCCCTTTGCAGAGCCGAGGAGAGAGCTCCCAGCCCGTCACGCGTGCAGCGCCCAGGCCTCGCTGCTCCAACCGCCAGGCATGACTGCCCTCCTGGCTCGGCCCAGGACCATCCCATGTCCAGGCGCAGCCTCACCCCTCGCAGCGGCCCGCGCGTGCTGACCCCGGCATGCCAGGAATCCCACTTCCCCTTGGAGCCCGTCCACCTTTGTGCAGCGGGGGCCTGAAATAGCCCAGAAGCGTCCCCCCAGCCACTATTTATAGCCCCCGTTCCTGCCGCGAGACAATGCCACGCTCCCAAAATAAACAGGAGGACGGGAAATCCTGCCGGAGCAGCACGCTGCCCTCCGCCCCGGGCTCCCCCGCCCCTGCCCGGGGGCTCGGCGTGGGCACCCCGTGCCGGGGCTTCCTTTCCCATTGCCGCGGCCCGGCTGGCACTGCTCCCGGGTCACCTCGGCTGCGCAGAGAGGTCAGCCCCGAAGCCAAACCCTCCCCTGGAGCCCTGAGAGCGATGGCTGGAGACCAGCTCCGTGCACGCTGCTACCATGGGGGTGGCTGCACTGCCACCAGTGCAATGGGCCGTGTTTTCCAGGGCACCAAGGGATTCAATTTGGCCGCCAAAAGCTCAGGGCAGGCTGCCAGCATGGATCCCCGGTGCTGGTGCAGGCTCTTCCAAGGGGGACGCTGCCCACCCGGGCTCTGCTGCCCAGGCAGGGCCAGAGGTTGCCCGTCCCCAGAGTCAGTCGCAATTGCATCTACGATACCCCCCTGCAGCCGGGCGGTACCAGAGCCCGGGCCGCACTGCTGGAGAGAGGCAGAGACGCGACAACCATGGTCCTTTGGGCACATACAAGCCTAGTCCTTCCCCATCTAGCAGGTGCCAGCGGCTCCCTGCTCTCTCCCCCAAAGCTGCTCCGGATGCGAGCGTATTAGGAGTTGTGTGCGAAGCTCTGGGCTGGCCCTGGGGGTCTCCCCCCGTCCCGTGTTTTCAGTGCTGGGAGTTGGTTTCGGACGGGGAGGCAGAAGGATGAGATGTCCCCATCTCAGCATCAGCCTGACCTGGCTGGGTACCACGGATGCTCTGGGGACCGCATCCATGCGTCTGTACCACATGCCTGCAGAGCCACGTGGCAGGGGTCTGCTGATCCCATCGCCTCTGAAGCAAGTAGGCTCCTGTCTCTTGCAGGGAAAGGGACACGAGTGCCTGGGGTCTAACGAGGATGAGAACCGCTGCTGCAGAGGACGCAGGTGCAGAGAGTGACCCAGCCCCCGTCAAACCCTCCCGGGGACCCACAGGCAAGCGTTAGGGATGTCCCGGGCCCAGTGCCTACGAGAGAAGCCCCTTCCCTTTCCATCCCTGACCTTCTCCCTCTCCGTTTCCAACCCCTGTCCCTCGAAGCCTGCTGCAATCCCCTGGGCTGAAGCCAGCTGCCCCGTGTCACAGCGTGTGGGGGCCGTGGTGGTCCCGTGCCGCGGGGGCCATGCCAAAAGCAGGCAGGCGGCCGGGGAAGTGCTGACACAGCCTCCCTGGAGGCATCGCGGCTGCAGGCACCAGCAACCCCCCATCCGCCCTGGCACATTTCCGCGGCGATTATTTCCATCTGGTGATGGGGCTGGTGTTATTTGTGTACTGATAGCAGATATTGCGGTGACAAGCTGCTTCTCCTCCCCGCTCGGAAAACAATCATCCCCAGCAAGCCTCCTATTAGCTCGGAAATGGCCCGGCGCGCTGGGCTGCCCGTGCCACCGCGCCCTGACAGTAAGTGGTGGGGAAGGGGCTGCTGCGGGCAGAGGGGAGGAAGGTAACGGCAAGGCGGCCGGCGGGGAGATGGCAGCGCGGGGCCTGGGAATAAGGTGACAGAGCAGGGACCATGCACGCGGGGCCTTACGGCAAGGGGCATCTCCCCTCTGATGCCACCAGGATCACTCCACAGCCCAGCCCCTCGTGCAGTCCCTTGCACGCATGCAGAGGGCGTGCAACGTGCACATGGATTAGGTGTCCTGCACCCACCTTCCCAGGTGCAGCAGCTGCACCAGGCACAAGGCAGCGGAGCACCAGGCCAGGGGGGTCCGATGTTGGACTCGATGTTTTTTCGAGGTCCCGTCCAGCCCTTAATTTCTATGATTTTAATTTCTGCGATGTAATCAGAGCTCATCCGGGGAAGCAATTCCAGAAGCCAGCCCCAGCTGGGTGCATGGCCTGAGCCGGTGTCCCGGGACCACGCACCAGGGCAGGCTGGGGTAACGGGCTGGGCAGCAGCTCTGCAGAAAAGGACCTGGGGGGGACAGTGGACAAGAAGATGGACAGGAGCCAGCGGTGTGCCCATGGTGCCAAGAAGGCGACCGGCATCCTGGGCTGCGTGGGCAGGAGTGTTGCCAGCAGGTCAAGGGCAGTGATGCTTTCCCTCTGTTCAGCACTGGGGAGGCCACATCTGGAGTCCGGTGTCCAGCTGTGGCCCCCCACTACAGAAAGGATGTGGACACATTGGAGGGAGTTCACTGGAGGGCAGTGAAAATGGTTGTGGGGCTGGGGGACACGACTGGTGAGGAGAGGCTGAGGGACCTGGGCTGATTTAGTTTGGGGAAGAGAAGACCGAGGGGGATTGAACAGCACCTTCACCTCCCTGCAGGAGGGTGCAAAGAGGATGGAGCTGGGCTGGTCTCAGTGGGGGCAGATGACAGGACAAGGAGCAATGGGCTCAAGCTGCAGCAAGGGAAGGTGAGGTTGGATATTAGGAAAATCCTTCTCGCTAGAAGAGTAGTAAAACACTGGAAAAGGTCACCCAGAGAGGTGGTGGTCTCCATCCTTGGAGGTTTTGAAGACCCGGGTAGACAAAGCCTTGGCCGAGATGATGTACTTGGGGCTGGTCCTGCTTGGAGCAGGGGGTTGCACGAGACGTGACCTCCTGAGCTCCCTTCCCACCCTCATTGTCTGTGGTTCTGTGATTTGCCACGTAGCAAGGCCACATGCACGCTGCGAATGCCGCAGGCCTGCAGGGATGCCCTGCGCCATGCCGCCCCACTCTGCGCGTACCACTCACCGCCCAGGAGCCGCGCAGCATCTGTGCGGCCTTGGGGGAGAGCAAACGAGCACCGCCAAGGGGCAGGGCCCGTCGGCCTGACGTGGCTGCACTGCTTCCAGCCGGGAGGGAGAGTGGTGTCACGTGGCCGAGGGCATCGCCGCTCGGCTCAGCACATTTGCAGGGAGACGCAGCCTCCCAGGCCCCTGCGGCACCAGTGTTTCTGCCCCAGCCGGGAGCCTTGGAAGAGCTTGTCTGGGTTGAAGGATGCTTTGGGGGAGACCACTGGGGAGCCGGACCAGAAGCACCGGCCTCAAGCTGCAGCAGGGGACATCAAAGTTGGAGAAACCTTCTGGCTCTGAGGGTGGTCAAGCACTGGACCAGGATCCCCAGAGACATGGCAATCTCCATCCTCAGGCGTGTCCAGGAGTAGGGTGCACAGACACGTGGCCGGGATGGGTTAATCAGGGTCAATCCTGCCTTG